CCCCCCCCCCCCCCCCCGCGACCCTAGTGAGGATAAAGCGGATCAGAAAATGGGATGGATGGATGGATGGAAATAGCAGCAAGTCTTAGCACAAAACCTAATAGGGAAAGCCGACAAGAAGAACATCCGAACTTTATTTAGGGTTCATCAGAAGCAACGTAAATCCTGGCGGGAGTTTGCGGATTCCCATTCAATGTATGTTGGAATTTGATTGGTTCATTTTTAACACAGACACCCCCCCCCCCTCCACACATGATCTCACTCTCTCCAAAATATTTGTGGGGCTTTCAGTTGAGACGTACACGTTATCGGAGGTAAAAAGCGACTGCTCTCGGTGTCATTCGATCAGACAAACGTGCCATTCGAACAAGGCCGTGGTGACTTTTTATATCCCGCCGCACGTCCGCCCAAGTCACGATCAAGCGTGGCGCTGCGTCCCGCGAGGCCTGACTCCGCTCCCATTTCCACTCAAGCCGGCGAGAGTGACGAGTGTTTACACGAGGCTGTCACGGTGGTCCGCAAATAAACCGACACAATGGGGGTGGGGGTGGTGGGAGGCGGGGCTTGGGCTCGCGACGACGCTCGGTGGATATTTGAAGTGAGGCGCCCCCAGCGAGGGGCCTCCAGGTGCGTGCGTGTTGATGTGCGAACGCTGCGTGTGTTTATGAGCGTCGGCCTTACCTTCAAGTCATCGGAGGGCGAGAGAGAAACAGGCGGCTCGTCGGTGGCAACAGGAAAGGCTGATGTCAGGGGTTAGCCATGTGGACCGCTCCATCTGCCTGGCAACAATACCGGCACACATGCACACTGAATTTCCTTGGCTCACACACACACACACACACACACACACACACACACACACACACACAGCCAGCATGTGCAAACGGGAGCGGTAAAAACTCACCATGTGGGGCCACATCGGGGGCATTCTCAGCACGTTTTCGCTCTTTAGCGCTTGCAAGTGGGAAAGAATCAAAACACCATCAGGAGAACGAGCCAAAATGTACAATTTCATATCTGGTCGATGAAATGAGCAAAACACGCGTGTGGCAAGACGCTGAACAGTCAGCATCTCAGCTGAGGGTGCAGTTGATGAATTTTGGATGTCGTGCTATTCGCAGGGTTGTCATCGTTTTTAGAGCGGTCATTGTCGTTGGGTTTTATTTTGAGTGTCCCTTTTTTTTTTTTTTTTTTTACTTTGAATGATTGTGGTTTGTAACTTTGTGGAGTTTTTTTCAAAAATGCTCCATGTTTAGCTTTCATTAGTTTTAGTCTTAGTTTTATTTTATTTTTTTTTCAAGTGAGCGTTTCCTGTGGGCAAGATAAAAAAATAAAAAAAAAAATCATGACAGTGAGTATTGAGTTGTAAAAACTCAACCAAAATATGAGCTTAAAAAAAAAAAAAGCCATCCACAAATCATAAACAGAGACCGTTCGATCCGTCCACAGACTTTGGAGTACAATTCAGCGCAGCGCATTGTAGCGCTAACGCTAACGCCTTTACATTTCCATTCCTTGTTTACCAAATTGCCAACTTGTTGAGTTGAGAATGATGAAACCCGCTTGTACTGTGTACTTTTTTTTTTATTTTTAAATATACATTTCATGCGGTAAATCCTCACACCATGTGATGATTACTGTACGGACAGGAAAAAGGCATCAGTCACAGAAAAAAACAACAAAAAAAAAAAAAAACAAGTTACAGCAAATATTTGTGCAAAACACCATTGGACATGGCCCTCGGGACAGAAATGTTTGGCACCTTTCGATAGCAAGAGAGAAGAAATGAGCCCTTTGTTTTTTTTTTTTTCCCTTGTTCCCGTAATCTAATTCTGTCGGCGTGACATGAAAAATCCATCCCGACTCAATTGGAGACGGCTTCCTCCTCTTCTATTAGTCACACACAGCTTGGGCAGACGGACGGACGGACGGACGGGTCATGTGTGCAAAGCTCCGGCCAAACCGCATCTTTGAGAGATTTGGGTTTTGAACCCCGACCAAACGAGCACTTGCGTGAAATACTCCGAACGACAAACAACGTCATCGGGACACAAAAGTGCATCTCAGTTCTCAGGTTGCTGATCGGAATGTCGGCCGCCTCCGTTTTGTGATTGGCGCGGGGAGAGCACGGAGGCGGGTCGGAGCCAACGTCGGTAATTTTGCAGACGAGTGTAGCCTGGCGGATCTGCGAGAGGGAGAGCCTCGCCGCCATGGGAGTGGTCAGAGCTGACTTGCATCGTGGCCAATCAGAGCGGCTCCTTTCATTCGGTGGCGCCAAATTCACTTTGAACGCACTTTAGGCCACAGGCTAATCATGTTCAGCATCCAAAATCAGGACAAAAAAAAAAATTCCTGACTTTACATCGGTCTTCAGTTCCATTCTAATAAGTACCGAGACGTGTTTTTCTCTTAAAAAAAAAAACAAAACAACATAATTTGGTCAGACAACATGCCGGTAAAAGAGATTTGGACATTATCATCCTACAGTACATTCGATTTCAGTGCTCAGACTCTTGTTGGAAAAAAAAGTTTTGGTTTGGAATTGTTTTGGATAAGCAAAAAAAAAAAAACAAAACAATCAAAAGGATGTTTCCACGGGTACATTTCACCAACACTGCGTTCGATCGAAAGACGCATCCTTGCCCACAAGGCACTGCTGCATCTCCAAAATCTTTTGTTGTTGTTGTTGTTGTTTTACGCCGCAGATTTTTTTTTTCAGTGACACTTTTGACAAAAATCCGTTTTGCATGTTTGTCCGTAGGCAAGTATGTCAAGTGTTTGCTGTCCCCGTTTCTTGGTGAAAGGCATCGTGGGTAACGGAGGTGGCACGACATCGTTACGCATGCAAAAACAGCGCCGGCGTCGTCGGGAGCGGGAAGCATCCACACTCGGCATTTCGGGATGACGTCACTGATACCGCGAGCCCGACGGCAACGCTCGCGGCCTTGAGAGAGACGCAGGCGAGCTGGAACGGGCGGACGCTTTTCGCTGGCATTGTCGGTTTACGAATCGAAAAGCCAAAAACACCCGACGCCTTTTGCACCCCCCCCCCTCACTTTTAAACGTCCTTAAAGAGCCGGTCGGGGGCAATGGTACGAATGATCCAAAGCACAATCGCACTTCGCTTGTAATATGAATCATCGTAATATTCATCGTGATCTTGGATTTCGATAACGCCCGCCCCTTTAAGCGACGGCAAAGGAGGGAGCGCACGGCGGCGACCGTTGACCCTCTTCCGCGGGCGAAACGGAATACGCGACAGGCTTACTGGGTTGCTATGCTGGCTGCTATTCTCGGCATTCCGCCATTGGAAAAGACGGCGGGAGCGCAAACGCACCAGCGCGGGATCGGGTGGCTCCAGAGTCAGGACGCTGGGACGGCGGCGGCTTGGGTTGGGCTGAAGTGAAGGGGGGCGGTTGGAGAGTTGGGGTTGTGTGTGCAGAAAATAGCTTTTATCACTTTTGCCCCGTCGCCCTGAAGAAAGCACTTTTATTGTTTTCCTTTCCTCTCGCTGGCCGACGCGACCACGAAAAATTATTTCGGCGATCCGACCCAGAGAATGTCACCGTGCAAGCCTCTTTCTCAACGTCCTACGCAGTGGCACACCTTGATGCTATTGATTTATTCGAATTAGTTTCATGTTTCGGGGGCAGCGCGTGGGCTTCGTGGCGCAGAGGTCCGGGGTTCGATTCCGGGTTGCGGCCTGACGATGTAGCGGACCGCTCGGCTGACTTGTGAGCGGGCAGCGCGGGGATCCGTGCCCACCCGGTGACGGTGTGGCGACCCCGTTGGAGATCGGCGCTGTTTCTGACAACAAAAATCTCTTCACTCTCTTGAGTTTAGTTGAATTTAATTTGAGTGTGTCTGTTTTGTTAAAAACAGATAGCTGGAATGTTTCGGCGCAGGAGGAGGTAATCACCCACCGCTGCATCACTCATGGGTCGAAGAAAAAAAGCGATGGAGAAGATAATGTTTTCATCAATCGGCCATCGAGCGCAAAGTGGAAGAAGCAATTTTTGCCGGGCAAATTGAATTATTCTATTTTTCTGACAACCTCCAATCTCACTCTGCTTGCCTTCACCTTTTTAATTCATCTTGCGGCGCATGTCAAATGTCATTTTTAATTGTTGGGGGGGGGGGGGTTGCAAATGGCCCCCGGGCCGTCGTTTGGACATCCCATGTTTTAGAGTGTTTACTCAATTAAAAGGGAAGAAGGTCAAAGTGGCCCTTACGATCTTTGTTTTTGGTTTTTTTCCCAGTATAGGAACAAGTTTGGAAAGCCCTGTTCCAACCTGAAAAAGATTGAAAAAAAAAACCCAACAACAACCCAAAAAGCTGGAATGCGTTCGTTCACATGTGCAAGACTCACTCATCACTCATCTTGCATCTATCTCTGGCTTCCTTCCTCGTAACCATGAGTGGAAAAAAAAAAAAAAAAAAAGGGGGGGGGACGGTGATGCAGGCAGAAGATTGCGGCCGACACGTGAGACGGTCCTCAGCTGTTCTGCAGTGGCGGGGGACCCGCGCGCGCTTAATTGCACTTTCATTAGCTTCGCGGCAGGGGACTCTTAAAATAACGCGGCGCTATTGTCCTTGGCGTGGCGGCGGCGGCCGTAACGTTTTGTTGTTTACATCGGACAGGTGCGCAAAAGGCGCGGGACGACATTTCCTTTGGGTTCGTGCGAGGCCGCCAAGATGGCGGGCACGGGACAGCGAAGCCCGACTGCATCCAAAGAACGTCTGCGACGAGCTCACCTTCAACTTGAAAAACAAAAGGAGTCCCGTGTGCCCCCTTGCCCCCCAACCGGCGGTGGCTGATCTCACTTTCAGGGATCAAAGAGGCCGGCGGTTGAACATCTCGATGCGTTCGTTGGCCTCGGCCGCGTCCTCTCCGGCAAACCGACGCATGTCTGCGGGGACGGGCGGGTGAAGGAGAACGGCGGCGCGGATGCCACAGCGTTGATCTGATACGAACGCATCGATTCTCAAAAGTTTGGCACCGAGTACCACACTGAAAAAAAAATGATTGAAATTCTTCCTTTTAAGTACGACAAACCCAATTGCAACTGTGCACAAATGACTGAATTCAATGATCAAGGTGAATGTGGATCATGTTAGCGTGGTTCAACAGTTTGTTTGTTTTTTTCATTCCAATGCCGTGCATTTATTAAGTAGAGTTTAGTTGTCTTTCACTTTAAGCGCAACGCATTTGCAGGTCATCTTTGAGAGCTTTTCAAACATTTATGAAGGTTCAAGCACAGCTTTTTTTTCCCCCTTAGTTTCCTAAATATTTAAAATATATTCAGCCTCTTTTCTTTGTGTGTGTGTGTATTTCAATTCGGGAGGTGGTACTTGGGCTACAAAGTTTGAGAAGCGCAGCTGTCCACGAATTACCTTCAAATAGAAATCTGTAAAAAGCAGGAAAAAGAAAACCACATTGCGATCATCCGCAGATTTCTGCAGGAGCAGAATAAATAAATCAATCAATAAAAAATGTGGGACCGATAGATATGCTTCAATCATTGTGTTGGGGAATCCGATTTCCGCAGTCACATTTGTGAGGATGCGTCGCTACGCGGCGTCATTGGTGAAGGATACTTGGATGGCGCTCTCGCTTCTCTCCAAACGCGTCCATGTATTGATAGCCGTTGTTGATGAATCCCGGCGGCAGCCGCTCCAGATGTCGGCTCGTCTGCACCACGGAAAAAGGAATAAGGTCAGTTTAACCGCTAAAAACAAAGCCCTCCCAAAAATCAAAAAATAGATCTAACATTGCAGGTGGTCCTCATAAAACGTCGACGACTCGCTGACTTGTCACCGCATTGAAAGAAAGAAAAACTCACGTGAATGCTCTTCATTTCTTGGGGCGAAAGCGTCATTTCGGTCTTTTGAGTCTTCTCGGTCGACACCTGTTGACAGCACCAAACAATTGAACATCAGATTTGATCCATCTTTTTTCCACACACGGTGCTACCTTGACTTACAATCAATTTGTTTTGCAACCAGCGTCTTAACTCAAATGAATTGCAAATGAACTGAAATTCCATGAATCGGTCGCCCAAATTCCATTTTCTTCAAAGCCGACAGTGCGCCTTATCATCCGATGCGCCTTATATTAGGGATCAATCTTCGGATTTCTTGGGACGTAGTATTTTAAACGTTCTTGGTTACGGCTGCAGCGGTTGGGAAAGCTCCATTTAAGTAAAGCTGTATTGTATTGTATTGTATTCCCTTTAGCGTAGCTCCATCTAGTGGATGCATAACACAACCGCAGCCACTACTGTAGCTCTTATCTTATTTGGCCGGTGCCAGTTTTGGCATTCCGCCCAATTTAATCATTTAATTGTGTGACAAGAATGACACATTCTTTATTTCTGAACAGGACCTGCTTGGTGCACAGCCTGAGCCAGTCCTCGAGCGCATCCTCGGTCAGGCCGACGCCGTCAAAGACCAGGAAGCAGGAGACATCCCTCTCGGGCCGGGCCGTTTGTTCCGGGACCGCGCGGAGGTCGCCGCTCACCGCGCTGTAGCTCACCGCCATCACGTGCGGCGAGTCTAGAGTGACCCGCGCGCAAGGCGGAAAAGTTCACACACGCAGAGCGACGTTCAAGACCTGTGATCCAAATTGCTCGCAGAGCTCACGCGAGGCACAAATGCAAACGTTCCAAAAGCCGCACGTGACCAATGAAGGAAGAATGCGTCCGCAAGAGGAAAGAAAATGTCATAAAAACAACAAATGGGGGCAAATTTCCCAAGAGGAGATGATCAAAGTACCTGATTTTGGAACTGACTCAAAATGGTGACTTCAAGCCAAAATGGTTGACTCCTGTTCACTTTTGCTCATGGATCATGGAGACGTTTTTGTTTGTTTTTTGTGTGCTTACTGTGAAGATAAATATGTTGACCCAATTTCTGTTCAGTTGGATGTCTCGGGCTGATTTTTTTTTTCATTTTTCTAACTTTGCAACGGGGAGCTCCTGAGTGACATTTGGGGGGTTGTGTTGAGGAGCTCTAAAGTGGGCGGGTTTTCACCAGGCGAGCAAAAGCTAAAAATGACTTTTTTGGGCATATTGAGGACTCCAAAAACGACCTTCAATAATCAGAAAAAGCATAAGAATAAGAACAATATCTGATTACATCTGCAAGTAAGGCAAAAAAAAAAAAAAAATCCTCCTACCCGAAAACCTGATTTTTCCCCACACGTTGTAAACATTTCCGCTGAAGGGACTCGGCCTTAGCGACGCCTTGAACGCTGCAGAGAAGAGACAGAAGCAACAAAACTTATTCGACATTTTAAATTCCAATAAAGACTTTCGTAATTCATAATGTTGATCAACTTTAGCCGCCCTGGGTACTTCCGGGTGACACAAAAGTCAAGCGTCGGGCTGGCAATGTAGAGGGAAAAAAACAATTGTTGACAAATACGTTGGTACGTACTTGTAGGCTTTATTTTTTTTGGATTTGGCTTACATGATACCAATGAGTTTGAAAATTATGTAAACAAACATTTTTTTTCTTGCAATTTAAGGTTTTATGATGTCAGTAGAGCATGACTTTGATTATTGATGATTTGAGAAGTTAACACCCCATTAAACAAGGTTTCATGACTGAACTTTCGAGAGTATTGCTATAATGTAGGCCAAGTGCTAAAAAAAAAAATTACAATAAAAAGTTCCCATGGCATTATGGGGGAAAAATGCTACCTTTGTAGCATTTAGCCTCCAAGTACATTTGAACGCATTTCCCAGTGGGCATCTGATGTCAAGAACATCAATCTGAGATCAAAATCAATCAAATTGATTTTGATTGATTTGAGATCAGATGCTGATCGGGCATTAATTAGCAAGTCCCTCAATCATGTCTGAATTTCAACCACACCCATTTTGGAATCAACGTTAAGCGTTGAAACATAATTTACAGCCGGGGTGCCGTCTCATTCCCGGGGACTTCTTCTGTTTTTAAATGATAGGCCACACGGTGGATAAGAAGGCGAAAAGCAGCATTGGAGGCATTTCTCCCGTTTTCTCAAATCGCTCTGACTCGGTCGAATGGCAGGTCAGCGTTTGCATATGATGAAAACGCCCGAGATTTCGCCTGCTGGAAGTCGGTGTGACGTCATGGTAAAAAGGTCGACGACGTGCGGTGCGGAAAAAAAAAAAAAAGCCCAACGGTTCAGCTGCTAGCGCCGAGGCAGAAGATTGGCAGTTCTGCGCCAACAATTACGGCTCTTTGGCACGGCGACCGTGCGCATATTTGGAGGGCGAGGCGGCGTTATGTAATCGGCGCGCACGCCGCCAGCTCGTATCTGAAGCTTGTGTCACGCGTATGAGGACAAATATGAGGCAGCCAGAGCGAGGGGCGTCTTTCTTTGCCTTTTACCTGCGCAGCGGGCGACAAACAGGGGCCTCTCCAGGGGCCGGCTGAAGGCCAGGCGATGTCGGCTGAGGACCAAAGACCCCGAACCGGTGAGGAAGCGCCCATTGCACCTGAAACAAAGGCCTTGCTTGAGGAAAACTCAAATTGTTCACAACATCATATTGCAATGTCAAACTGGCCTCGAGAGCTGTTTTTTTTTTTTAATTCAAGAGCGCGCGACCAAACCTTAAGGCCTGGAGATGTGTCAAATATTCCATTTTAGATGTTGGCTATGACGTCAGCATCTTGACGCGCGTTCTTAATTAAACTCCAATTCTGTGGGCCCCCCCACGCTTCGTCGGAGCGGCCACTGATTGCTGTAAAGCCCAGCGGGCATCTTGTGTTCTCTCAGCAGCTGCCCGCTCGCAGCCCAGTAACAAGCTCTTGGCCACGCGGCTCAGTTGCCATGTACCAACAGAGGGATTGCCTTCCCGCCTGGACCCGTTCCATCCAGTCCTCATGCCTCAGAGCTCAGAACCCCGCGTCCCCCTCCTGCCCCTCCTCTCCCAAGATTATTCTCTGGCACAGGCTTGGACTTTTTTAGTCGTTGGATCTCCGCATTTGAGCATTTCTCAAATGTCCTCGCTGGCCTCGTTCCTGAGGTAATAAGCCTGCTGCTTCAAGAGACAAACTGCAGCATCGGCAGCTTCATTTCGCAACATGAAATTTGGTAGGCATGTCTATTATGAGAAGACAGTTACCAAAAAAAAAAAAAAAATTGTACATTTTGGTTTGAAGCAGCCATTTTGCCTCGCTAGCTCCCTGTAGAATTTAGCAAAACTATTCAGCCCCCCCCCCCCCCACCCAAAGACAGGTCCATCGAGCACGCGCACTATATAATTTGGTAGACATGACTCACATGGAGGAAGGCCTAAAGAAAAAAAAAAAAAAGCCACGCCTGAGGAGACACAGCAGTCAGCCATTTTGGTTTAAAACAGACTGGCTTCAGTAGCGTCCTCTACGATTCCCCCCCAAAAATCTGGGGTTAAGGGTCAGGACGTGGGGTCACGGGTACGAGCCGAGGATACTGGCTTTGTGATGAGAGGAGGACGCGTGCCCCTGCGGTTAGACAAGTGCGCAGACAAGCATGACGCCAAGGACGGCATGCGGGAGGACACCGGCGCGGCCATAAAGCAGAATTTACAGGAGAACGTCAAGGAGGGTAATTGGGAGGTTGGCACGATGATGGTCACGGAGGACATATTGGAAGACGCACAAAGAGACATTTTAGAGGTGGCCCGACCGCACGGGGGGAAATTGGGAGCACGTGAGTGGTAACACATGGAGGGAAGGTTCTCACCAGCCAGGGTAGAGCACGTAACGCGCCCGCAGCATCTGAGGTCGGCTGAAGCTGCTCGGCGACAAAATCAGCTTGACGTCTTCATTCCTATCCAAAGATGACAAGTCAGTCGAGCCCCATTCAGCGTGCGGGATACGTCGCAGACAAACCACACGGCTGATGAAAATCGACCCTCTTGAGGAATCATATTGTAAAATGGAAATGAAAACACAAAACAACGTATCGAAAGTATCGTACGCGGTGCGGCGGGTGGATGTCAGATGCATACGCGTGCGGGCCCCGGACTGACGGAACTAGAAGTGAAAAAGTCTGGCTGTGAGCTGTGGCCCACTGCAGCCCCCCCGTCTGAGTTTGCTCATTCTGTGCATCATTGTTTTCCCGGTGCTGAAAATGCATCTGTGACTTTGCCGCTTTTTTTTTTCCAGGTTGCATTCAACCGACACCTTCCTTGTCGTCACTCACTTTCTGAGGGGATCATGCACCTGCAAAAAAAAAAAAAAATGCTGCCATCTATTGGCTGAAGCTGACTTCTAAATTAAATTTTTGCACGCAACAGTGAGCAGAAAAAAAAAAAACTCATGCCCAAAGATGTGCACTAAAAAACAAAACCTGCATCTTCACTTCCTGTAGGCGTAAAAACCAGGATTACAGCAGCTGACATTCAACAATTTTCAACAAAAACTCGGCAGTGTTGAAATACGACACGCATTTCCTGTTTCCTTCTTCTTTCAAATTTACACCAATTTCAAGCTAAATATGACGCCATCCAGTGGTTGAACGTGGAATTACACTGGACTTAAATTAGTCACTTCATTGGGGTTTCCTGTGGATTGCAGTGTCAGAACTTGGTGGCGGTATGATTGTTACCATTAAAAACACAAAAAACAAAAAAAAAAGCCATCCGCGAGTGTCAGACCTCGTGACGGCCCCTCTTGCCGCCGAGATGAAGGCGGCGGTGGGGTTGGCGGCGCGTACCGCCTGCTGAACGTGCTGCGCCAGCGGATGCGTCTGGTCTGCCGCGGCCCCGGTGAACACCACCGCGCTGACGATACCTACAAACACAAGCAAAAGTGCTGACGCATCACTCGGCATCCGTAGCCGCTTTCGCATTCATTTCCGAAACGCAATGTGGAACGATTTCTTTCCCCATTTCTCGCTCGTGTGAGGCTCAACTTCAGATCGAATTTTTACTCCAAAGGAGCCAAATGACCGCAGGCTCCTTGGATCCGTTTCCCCGGCAGGGTTCTTTGTGACGAACTTCAAAACGTTCATCGACATTAAAAAATGGGAAATTGCATCGAATTAGCATATCACTTGTCTCCTGTTTGCCTGCCTCGGCTTGAAAGACGCACGCCGGAGGCCTTTGGGACCCTCCCGGAAGCAAATCGAATGAATACGTGGCAAGCATCGGAAAACATCGTCGCTGTCGGGAGACTTGAGGGACGCTGAGCACTTACCTTGGCTGCACTGCTCCAGCAGCTTTGGAAAAGCAAACCTGAGGGAGGAGATGAAGAAGCACTGAGCAGTCAGGACAAGTTTTCAGGCGAAAACACAACTGACGTGTCTGCAAGCAATAAAAAATGTTCATGAAATTGGTCCGACTGGAGTTTTGTGTTTGATGACGTGTCATCAAACTTTTGAGTCACGTTCTAAGAGAAACTGGAACGGGAGGCAGACTTTCTGTCTCTTTCGAAGAATTATTATTATTATTGTTTTGTTTTTTTTTGGTGGGTCTACTCACGAGGAGGCGGAATTTTTCAAACGTAACAGAGACACGAGCTCCGATCGTGAATAAGAAGCCATACGCACGTGGCTACTCGCTGACTACGCAATCAGACATTTTTGTCGAATGATGTCACCGTCCCTGAATTTTACATCCAAACTGCGGCGCTAAAATGCCAGTTGGAGAGGGCGGGGGATGTCCGGCCAAGTCTTCATAGCAACCGACTCATTATTCCACCCCCCCCGCCCCCATTACCCGCACGTCCTCCTCCAGATCAGTCATTTGAAAAGCATTTATCTTCCCTGTCCTGATGTCATGAACCGTCTGCATCAATCACCCAAAAAATGGATCACGACTGACTGATAAGCTTGGTCGAGGATGGCGTCGTATGGGGCGGCGGCGACGGCGGCGGTGGGGGACGCGCACACACAAGTGGCTGTGGTGGATTAGGTGCGCTATGTGGAGCGAGGTGACAAGCGGGTCAGGCCAATTAACTTCGTGGTTGGCGGTCCAATCAGCATGGAGCAAAATTTAGCGAGGCAGAGGCTTGGAAGACGCCTCAAATAGTCAGCTTTGGGTTAGCGCATGTGATCCACAAGTTCCTGGAAAAAAAAAAAAAAAGGAAAACGCGCTAATATCCGTGATGTCGCGCTGGGTCCGCGCCGTGAAATGACTTTATTAACCGGAGTGGCGGGCCTTGTATGGAGCGGCTCAGTCCAGCTCCATATAAAGCCTGCATGCTTAGGACACAAAGAGCGCGAGATTAAATGTAAGGCTGATCCGCCTGGACTTTCAATAGCTATAAAAGCGTCACGTGACCTCCTCCTGGAACCCCCACGACAACTCACGACCAACGTTTGTCTGTCAAAAGACACTGGGAATCCTCTTTTCAAAGCAGTTTTTTTCCAGCTCATTTTGCTTCTTTAACCGAATTTCAAAGCGAGGGTTTAAAACGTCCCAATATTCACCAGAGGAGGGAATTGAGGCGTTTTTGCAAGTCTCAGACATCCCTTTCCAAAATGGCGTTTGCAGAACATTTCACGACATTGTACACAGGTGTGAAAGTGGGTGCGGTGGGTGGGTTTTGCCAGTCCCTGCCTCTCACCAAGTTGAGCCGTGACACGAATGTGGAAGGATGGGTAAATAAATACATTAAACAAAAAAAAAATCTGTGCCAGCATGTACTAGTTAGCCCCAAGGACAACATATCCAAATAGCTTCCCAGTGATGGGGCACTCTAACTTAAGAAGAATTAAAACAGAAAAATTGTATCATTCATTCATTTATTTAGAAACTTAATATTTTACACATTTCTTATTGTCGCAATTGTTCATTTTTTTAAAAAACACACCAAAAAAGTGCTTTTATTTTACCAAATTTAAAAAAAAAAAAAAAAAATTTTAAGGATATTTTTCAGTTAGAATTTTACTGCTGTGTTATGTTTGCTTACGGCGATGATACCGTCAAGAGTGTAATATCGACCCCCGCGATGCAAGAAGCGTCACCTGTGCTCCATGCAGGAGGCGAGCGGATCCACGCAGGCGGTGACGGCGCCAATGATGAACCGGACCCGGACAGCAGAGTCCGGGTGTTGAAGCACGGCCTGGACAACGTCCAGAACATCCGTGTATCTGTGAGGAGTCAAAATCCTCAAGTCACAAACTTCTTGTGTTTGAAAATCGAAAGGAAAGGAAGTCGTTTTCTTACCCGGGTGAGAGGACCAGGAGGCGCACCTTTCCTGCCGTCCTCCTCTTCTGGTTTGCGGAGACGTCGGACAAAAAATCCTGCAGGTGGGAGGCCGAGAAGGCGCCATCGCAGGCGTCCGCAGCGGGAGGATACACCAACCATCTGCGGGCAACAGCAAGCATCTTTTTTCTGGGGCGGGGTCTTTTACGGGGCACACCAAAACATGCAACCAGTCGTTCGCCTCACATCAAGCTAAAAATGTTGCCGTATGAAAAAATGTGTTTATAATAATAATAATAATAATAATAATAATAATACATTTGATTGGTAATGCACTTTACATTTCAGGGAAATCTCAAAGTGCTTAGAAGGTTATATGGTGAACTTTGGACTGTCGAGGGGGTGTTTTCCCACCTTCCGTACTCTTTGTTGAGGCGCACCAGGCAGAGG